TCAGAACACAGAGTATTAAGATCCAGGTCACTTCCCTTGACACTGCCAATGCAGATTTTGAGGAATCATTTGCTTTGTAACTGAAATGACCATGCCCTGACTTTTCTTCTTGGTGACAGGCCCACAGAGCTTGCTCAGCATGTAGGATTCAGCGGATAGCAGCTCTGAGCCTGAGAGGCCCCATTCCTGAAGCCCATCCACTTGCCTTTCTTTCTAGAATCAGCCAGATCCTAGATTTCTCCCTAACCCAGAGGTCTTAGAAATTTGCGCTTTAGCAGAATGATGAACAGGAGGTATCCCCTCCCCGCCAGGTCGCAGGCCAGCGCTAATGCCCTAGGCAGAGCCCATTGCTAGCTAATGGGACTCAGGTGGAAGAGGATCAGGAGGAGGGTTGCAAGGGAAGGGACAGAATGTTATGACCGGCATTCCCCCATTTTGTCCCCACACCCAGTGAATATTTGCCACTGGGCCTTTCCTGTCTATGCAAAGGGGGAGGCTCCAGGGAGGTAATGCTGAGGTCGCTCTCCTTCCAGAAAGGCTACAGCTCCACACTGAGGGGAATGCCAGCTTCCTTGAAGAACGGGATCGTCACCGACCAGGACCTGGTTCCGAGGCGAAACTCCCTGATCCTGAAAGGAAAGCCGGAGCCGCTTCCGCAGCCCGGCGGCCAGGCCCGCGGCGCGGAGCAGTATCTCCGAGAGTGGTTCTCCCGGCCGGTGGACCTGCACGGCGCCCTTCTGCCGCACGTCTCCGGGACGCACGTCAAACTCTGGAAGCTGTGCTACTTCCGCTGGGTCCCCGAAGCCCAGATCAGCCTCGGGGGCTTCATCACCGCCTTCCACAGGCTGTCCTTGCTGGCCGACGAGGTGGACGTGCTCCGCAGGACGCTGCGGCAGCACCGGGCCGGCCCTCCGGAGGCCCGCTGCCCGGAGCCTGACCAGAGCCGGATGTACTTCCGGGTGGGCGGCCCACAGGCGGCGGGGACGCCGGAGTTCCTGTCTTCATCGTTCCCCTTCTCTCCCGTGGGCAACCTTTGCCGGCGGAGCATTTCGGGAACGCCGCTGAGCAAGTTCTTGAGTGGGGCCAAAATCTGGTTATCTACCGAGACGCTAGCAAACGAAGACTAACACCCCGTTTTCTGAACGTTTTGAGGGGAGCCATAAACCGGCTTCCTCTGAATCAGAATTGCTAACCTAGGCATCAGAGGCTCTAAAAATTTTACGTGTCGGAATAATAGTTGAAATTTGCACTAATATTTAAAAACAAGTCGAGTTAACACTTCCTCACAATTCTTTTTTAAAAGACCTTTTCTTTTTTATGTCCTCTTTCTGTCATTTTCAGTCTGGCCCAGTTTCGGGTGATCTGTAGGCAGACATTCTCCTATTTTTACTACTGTGAGCAAACAAATCAGGTTTTGTCTGTGACGTTTATTTTGTCTGCATCCACTTTCTCCCACCAGCCACTAAAGGTTGCCTGATCCTCAGCCTGGCACCCCAAAGAAACAGAGGTCAGGAAAGTTAAGAAATTAACATTTAGTCTATTTTCAAGAGCATCCGGTCAGCTCTAATAGGTATTAATATATTTTTCTGGTCACTTTCTATTCTAATTGAACCCACCTGAGGGTTCAGTGTTCCAAGGCTATTATTTATTTTAGATCACCTTGTTTGGGACCGTAGACCACTGTGTTTTAAAATCATGAGTTTGCTGTTAACTTCCCAGGACTAACTTTAAAATGACATGCACTGCTGACTTTAAAAGCATTTGCTGTAGATAATATAAACTTAGAAGTGCCTTTGACATTGAGGTATGCATAACACAAAGTAAAACACAGTTTTCAGTTTTTAAAATCAGGGTGTTAACCTACATATTGGAAATGGGCTTGTCACCGCTGAGCTTCATACCAATAGCCAGGAGTCCCCCAAACCACATTTCCTTCCCTCTGAAAGTCAGCGAGGACACAGCGGGCCTGTGGGGTGGTTGGTGTGGGTGTGACAGCGGCAGGAGCCAGTGCTGTCGGCACCGAAGCCCACCCTCCAAAACAGAGGGCTGTTGAGAGGGATTTGGGCGTTTGCTGCCCGTATTTCCAGTCTGGTAAACTGTTGTTGGCACTTTACCTTGGAAATAACTAATGAGTCAGGTCACCTGCACAGAGGTCCCTCCTCCCGCCCACACAGTTCTTAGTGGTTAGGTTTAGCCAACAGGAGAAATAAAGTGTACTTCTCTCAAAATACTGCCATTTTAATATTGAGGGAAGACCCCCCCTCCCCCCACCCCCGACCTCTGACAGCGGAGAAGCACGCAAAGGTGTGTTCTGCGTCAGACTGTGACGGGAACCCAGCCAAAGCTGTGGGGTCGGAGCTGAAGCTTGTTAGGGGGACTGGCGGTCAGCACCATCCCCCTCCTCCCCCCCCCCCCCCTCCTCTGCCCACCCTGCTCCCTGTTTACAGGATGGATGTTTCAAATTGAGCTGTTACTTTCTTAAACTGCCATCTTAAGCTTTAGAAAAGTTTTATAGTGAAGTGGCTAGCTTCTAAAACAAGTTTTTTCAAAGCGTGTTTTACCTTTATGTGTAATGAATAGCTGTTTCAAAGTGTCTGAATTATTTTCCTTTTTAAAGTTGATGTCTCTGGACCTAAAGGGACAGAAGTTCTTACACAGTGTCTTAGAAAATTTGTCTTCTGGATCAACCCAGTTTTTTCAGCTTGTTGCCTAGAAAATAAGGGCTTTTTTCACCTTATATAAATAAATAGCACTATTGCCATTAAACATTTTATACCTCTTGATTGGAAACCAGTCTCAATCCCCTTAAAGTCCCACAGCATATCCTGCCATTGAAAGTGTGATAATTCTCCCTTTTTGATTAAACTGCCTTTTTATTATTACAAATAATTCTAAATTGGCGGGGGGGTGGGTCTGGGAGTGGTTGTTGAGCATTTATTTCTAATTCTCTTCCCTCACACATTTATTTCAACTCCTTTAGTGATTTTTTTTTTAATTTACAAGTTTAAAAAAGATTAGGTACTATTAACATACTGTCTTAAAATAGAAAATGTGCATATTTTTGTATGATAAATGTAGTAAAATATGGTTTTTAGTTTTATTTTTGCTGGATGGTTGTTCTATCATGATTATTGTGCCACAACTTATGCATAATATGAAAAACAACTATAACAGCTTTAAGTCCTGGCCATTCTAAAGCTGCCTGGCACCTCTGCTAGCAAAAAGGATGTGGTGGTGACCGAAGTCCTCCGTGTGGTTACGGACGCTGCACCAAAGAGCGCTTCACACTCTCCAGCCCCACAGCCCCGCAAGCGAAGTCTGTGCCGATGGAGCACCGCACGGGCTCCAGACAGCTTGGGACTTTCTAGTACTGAACTTAAAGATGTACAATGTCTTACTGTTATTTTATGATGGAAACCAGTTTTAAAACCAAAAATGTCTTAACTTTATTTAAGAAAAGTATATTAATATGTGCTAACAGAGGGTGAAAACTAGTCAACATACCTTCAACAAAATCTGCTTGCTATAGCAGTAACCTCAAGTAGAACTTGATTTTGAGAGAAAACTAAAACCTTTGTGCCTAAAATTACAACCTGAGTTAAAGTAGGATGAGCAGGAAGATGAGAGCTCTTGTTCAACAGTGATGAATGTGAAGGAAATTTTGACTGCTAAATAAAATTTCCACAGAAATTGCTTGTTGTAGTTATCGATGTGAAATCTACAAGAACATAGTGATTGAAGAAGCGAAGGCATTTTCTTCCAGCCACACTTGTGGGGGTGTCATCCAACCTCTTTGCTCTCAAGCAAGGTTGTGATCAGTTAACATTTTCAGCATTGATTAGAACGGCTGTGGTTAAGGCCATCTGGGTATTAATGGACTATGCCCTAACTTGTCCTTCCGCTCAATAAATTACCAAGCTCAGGGCATCTGGGTGGCTCAGCTAAGTGTCTCTTAATATTGGCTCAGGTCATGATCTCAGGTTCATGAGTTACAGCCCTGTGTCAAGCTCTGTGCTGACCGTGGGGAGCCTGCTTGACATTCTCTCTCCCTCTCTCCCTGCCCCTCCCCTGCTTGCACTGCCTCTCTCTCAAAGTTTTAAAAAATTGCCAAACTCGAGGAGGTAACATTTCCCTGAGAAGATCTCAAAATTAGTCTGTGGGGAGACTGGGATCTCCGTCCCTGTTCTGGTAAGCTGCCTTCCTACCATACACTTTCCTCCGCCTAAGGCTCTCCCAACAGTGATAAACAGCCCTGTTCCAATGATACTGTATATAGAAAATTGCCCCTCACCTAGTCATTAGGGATGTTTCCAAGGAGAAAGATGAAAAAGGACAACTGTCTTTGATAGACTGTTAATACCTTTGGTGATCTAGGCCCAATTAGTAAGAGTAGGCCTTGACAGATGTTGTAAGTTAAGGAATTTAATGAGAATTTTTTTTTTAATTCCCAGAGAAATCAGAATTTCAATTGTTTGTACCCTTTTTAGATAATCCTAAAACAAGAATGTTAAATAGCTGAGTGTATCTGGGCATTATAGGAAACCTTAAATTCAGTTCACCCACATACTTAATTAGGAACACTATAGGCTACTTTTATAAAAGACCAAAAGCTGTGAAACATCCCACTGTTTGAATCTTTTCCAGCATTTTTGCAAGTCTAGTGTAATAACATAAATGCATCTATTTCCTGAAATGGCCACCACGAAGGTTCTGTATTTTTCCTATTTTTTTATTTTATTTTTTATTGATTTTTTTATCATTTTTTATTTTGAGAGGGGAGGGGTAGAAGGAGTGAGAGAAAGAGACAGCCCTGTGGAGCCTGAGGGAAGGCTAAAATCTCACGACCCTGGGATCATGACCTGAAATGGAATCAAGAGTCGGACGCTCAATCAACTGAGCCACCAGGCATGCTGGTTCTGACCTTTTAGAAAGTTCATTACCTGCTATGTGTAATCAGTGAGTACATCCAGGCCAAGACCAAATACACAGATACTGTACAATGATAAGTCTTAAACTCTCAGGTTTATTATTGACAAAAAGTTAAATAAAATGTAAGAATGCTTTACGCTTTTGAAAATCTTCAATCCACGTATAACCAGATATTCCCAATTCCATAGCTCTTAGTTCAGGCCTTTGCTCTTAGCTCCAACTGCAACCACGTGGCAGACTTCTACTTCGGCCCCCAACTTCTGCAGTTCGTGCAACCAGACCATTTGCTTATGTGAAAGACGATCGTTGGGGCCTTTAACTTCCACCAGCTGGAAGATAAGATTTAAAAAAATTATTAGTATCTTACTGAAACGGAAGAGCCAAGTAAGCTATAATAGTTTTCACTAACAACTACTTCAATGGCTTCTACTATATTACTGTACTTACATATATAAAACAAATATACATATGTGAATTTCATTGAGAATTATTCAGTACAAAGTAGGCAGTTCCCAATAGAGAATTAGTAAGTTCATTCTGAATACATAGTTGAAAATTTTTAATGTTTATTTTTGAGACACACAGAGAGAGAGAGAGAGAGAACATGAGCGGGGGAAGGGCAGAGAGAGAGGGAGACATGGTCTGAAGCAGACTCCAGGCTCTCAGCTGTCAGCACAAAGCCCGACATGGGGCCCAAACTCCTGAAACATGAGCTCATGACCTGAGCCAAAGTTGTATGCTTAACCCACTGAGCCACCCAGGCGCCCCCAAAAACAATTTTTAAAGCATGTACTAGACTGTTGCTCCCCTGCTTAAAACCCTTCAATTACTTCTTGTTATGTCTGCAATTAAGTCTTTTGCCATGACCCACAAAACCGTATGAGCTGGCCCCCGCCAACCACTCCAAGGGCACTTCAGTTTCCAAGAAAAGACCAGCCTCTTACCAACTGAAGGGCCCTTCCATACGCTTGCTGTTCTGCTGCCTAGGACATTTCTTCTGGTTTTTCACATGTCTGACATGTTACCCTTCAATGCTCAGCCTAATTCATCTCAAAGAGGTCAGTACATCTCTATGCAGGGTCCTTCCTATGCACTTCTTTCATGGCATTTATCAGAAGATAAAACTGTTCATTATATATCCACTCCATGAAGCCAGGAACCATGTCAGTTTTATTCACTCAACTTCAAAACAGCGATAAAAACTATCCAGACTTTTCAAATTTGATGGAAATAATAAACTCAAAGATCCAAGCAGCTCAATGAGCCCCAAGTAGAGAAACATTAAGAATACTACATACAGAAACATAATTAAGTTGCATAATCAGTGATAAAGGGAATATTTTAAAAGCAGCTAGAATTTTTTGAAGCCTAAAGGAAAGGATTACAGATTGATCATTATATAGGACAGTGGAGTGGACCAATATTTTAAAGTACTGGAAGAAAAAAAAAAAAAAACTATTAACATAGAATTCTTGCCTCAGAAAAAATATCTTTCAAAAACAAAGATGAAATAAAGACTTAAGACATATAAAACCTAAAACATCCATTACCAGCTGACCTCCAGTTCAAGAAGGGTTAAAGTTCTTTAAGCAGAGGTGAGGTGGGATGATAGCACATGGAAGTCTGGATCTCTATAAAGGGAATAACAAGCATTAAGAAATTGTATCTATGTGAATAAATATAAAGATTCTTTTTTTTTTTTTTTAATGTTTATTTTTGAGAGAGAGACAGAGCGGAAGTGAGGGAGGGACAGAGAGAATGGGAGACACAGAATCCAAAGCAGACTCCAGGCCCTGAGCTATCAGCCCAGAGCCTGATGCAGGGCTTGAACCCATGAACCGCAAAATCATGACCTAAGCCAAAGTCAGACGCTTAACTGACTGAGCCACCCAGGCACCCCTAAAGGTTCTTAACAATCAACTGTAGAAAGCAAAAAAAATGCAGAGTTTATAACATGTAGAAATATAATGTATGAACATCACAAAGGCTGGGAGAGGAGATACAAAAATATACTCTTGTGAGTTTCTCTATACTATATATGGGATGATAAGATCACTTGAAAGTAGATAATAGGTTTAAGATGTACACTGTTAACACTGGAGCAACGACTTATATGTACAACAAAGTTACAGTTAACAAGCCAATAAAGGGTTAAAACGCAATCTGTAAAAAAAAAGGGGGGGGAGGTAGAAAAAGGAGAAGAAAGGAGAACAAGAGAGCTGAGACAAAAAACAAATATCAAAATGGCAGCTTTAAAGCCAAATGTCAATAATCACATCAAATGTAAATGGTCCAAACACCCAATTAAAAGGCAAAGGAAATCTGCCTATAAGAAATTTATTAACTACAAAGACAAAATAAGTTAAAAATGAAAGACTAGAAAAAGATACGTTAATACTAATCCAAAGAAGGCTGGAGTGGCTGTATATTAATAGTCAATTTCTGAGTGAAAAACGTGACCAGGAATAGAGGAGGGTCATTTCACAATGATGAAGGGATCAGTTTACCTAGAGGACATGAGAGTCCTTCAAGTTTGTACATCTGATCACAGAGCTTGAGGATATATGAAGCAAACTGGACAGAACTGCAAGGAGAGACACACAAATCCTCAGTTCCAGTCAGAGATGTCCTAGGACCCCAAAAGCACAATCCATTAAAGAACAGAGAAGTGGGACTTGGCCAAAATGTAAAGTTTCTGCTCTTCAAATGACACTATTACAAGAATGAAAAGACAAGGCACAGACTGGGATGAACTATAGCTGATAAAGGACTTGATTCCAGAATTTTAAATCTCAAAACTCAATAATAAGAAAAACAACCTGGGATAGGCAGCAGGATAAGACCAAGGTGAGGCAAGGGGGGGCAGGGGGGAAATGAGCCTACAACACGTGATGAGGCACTCGCCCTAAGCTCACTTAGAAGACAGTTCCCAGTCATCTCAGCCTCATGGAGTTCACACCCTGTGGAACCCCCTCCTTTTGAGCATGGGCTGGACCCTGGGACTTGCTTCTAAAGGAAGAATACAGCACAAGGGAGGGATTGTTCCTTGCACGATCAGGTTACAAGAGACAGACTTCCATCTTGCCCACACTGGCTCTTCCCGCTCGCCTGCTCTGATGACGAGAGCTGCCAAGGTGAGCACTGCATGGTGGACAGGGGAGGCCCACACGCATGGGGCTGAGGAGGCCCTGGCCGACCGCCACTGAGGTACCATGGCCCTCAGTCCAACAGCTTTTGAGGGATTCAATCTTGCCAACAACCATGCAAGGAATGCCTACATTGTAGCCTCTCTTTAAGTTGCTAATAAAATTATCACAGAAATAGGACTTTCCATTCTGGCCCAACTGACCTTAAAGCGATGACTCTGGGAGTCCCACACCACCAGGTCGGGGAGGCCCCCTCGGCAGTGCCGGAAGTCCACAGCCAGCCGCCTGCACACACCACTGAGGACAGGGCCGCCCAAGCAGGAAACAAGATCCTGCACACAAAATATGTGGACGGTTAGCCGTTCCCTGTGACAGGGATCCTGAAATACTTTCACTGATCACAGGATAGAAGAAAACTGTGTAATTCGACACAAGTGAATTCCAAGGCCTTCAGGTGGTGTTCTGCTTGTGCCAGGGCTCCAGAGCCACTGGCTAAAATGCCCACTGGCACAGTCTGGGGAGTCAGTTACACTTCTGTCCAGCCGGGAAAACCCTGGGGAACAGGTGAGGAAGAGGGAATGTGGTGTAAATACTCAGGAATAGGAAGTGATGGCTTGCAAAGGCCAGCAGTTGCAGGGACAGGAACGGTGCCCTCCCTGCTGAGGGTCACAGGAGGCTGTCAACTAAGGGGAAGAAGGCATAACGGGGCTTATTTTGTGCCCTGCCACATTCCCATCAAGAACAGTGGCATCTGGACTAGGGTATTATCATATACATAAATGTATGCACGGGCACAGTCACATACACACACACACACACACGTGCATATAAACACACATACACACGCACACGTATGCATATACATGTGTACACACATGTATACACACAGGTACATGTATATACAGGATTTCTGACCAAATCCGGCTGCAGATTCTCACCTGAGCTTGCTGAAGAGAAGCAAAGCGATCCCAGCTGACAATGGAAGCCACTCGGCCTTCCTGGGCCTGCCACGCGGCTGCCACCCAGGCCCGCAGGCTCTCCGCGGGGGCGCTGTGAATCAGCTGAAGCCTGGCCTCGATGGCAGGCCCCCTGCTCGTGAAGAAGCTGTCTGTACACAAGTCCAGTGGGCATGCCTATGTCGCAGGGAAAAGAAGCTCTCATACTGTGCCTGGAGAGACCCTGATTCATCAGAACATTCAGTACCTGTAAAATTTGGAAGCTGGCCAATATGATTAAATGGACACATTCTTTTTTTTAAAAGATAGGCAAAAAACAATCTAAGTAATCTAACATAAAAGCAACTTATTGTACTGGTTTGCTAGCACAACAATCTGTGAAAAGAGCTTTTAGTTGACGTTGGTGGCACTCTTAGCAGGTGCGTGTAATGGAGCACGTGATGGTGCAGGCCCGGACAGGAGCCCAGTGAGGGCCGAAGCCGAAGAAACACAGGAATGGTCTCAAGGGGAATGAAGAAGGTAAATAAAGCAGGTTAAAGTTTAAAACTTAACAGACTTAACATTTTAAATTCTAGGAGCCTGACTTTAAAATAAAAACTCTTACAGAGAATCAGCATCATCCAGAAGATTGTACTTGACAGATTTCTGATGGCAGCAGGCACATGGCACACGGGTGGGCAGGAACCACAAGGGGCAGTATCGTCTGCTAGCCTACAAAGCACATGCGCCTGGCGCTGCCTAACCTGAGTACCTGGTAGGCATTTCTGAAGACGTCTGGTATCCCGTCCATGAAGATTACATCCCACAGGAGGAGGCCATACAACGTGCTAAAGGTGGACCCTTCCCCGTGAATCCCTAAGACAGAGTCATACACACACAGAGGAAGGTCAGTTTTTCCTGTTTTTTAAAAACCACCACCTTAACCTACTGCTTACTCAATGTGAAGGAAATAATAGATTTTAGGTTCAAAACCAAATGCTGCTTTCTTGCCATTCCTAGCTCATTTGTTTACATCACATTGCTTTTCTACAGAAGGCTCATAGGAGAGCAAAAATCCGAGAAATTATGGAAAAATTCAAATACACATTTCAGAGCCATAAAGTAGCTGGCAGTTCTCAAACTTTAATGAGAAACCCAGGGAAAGTTCTTAAAGCTAAATAAAAACAAATTTCCGTTGCAGGCTGCAGGGATTCAATATAGTAAGTGTGGGTGGGCCGAGAACCCCACAGAGGGCTCTGGTGTAGGGACCCTTGGGCACACTTGCAGAAAGGCCCCCCAAAAGAGATCGGAGAAAGACGAGGACCCAGGAGTCCGTGCCCTCTGACCTAGCAGGTGCCGTCTCCATTCACCTCACTGGACCTACCGTTCCACTGCTCTGGCCTGGACAAGCATGCCCAGTGTTTCTGAGACTCAGAGCTCTTATGGAAACTTTCTACCTCAGAGACCACCTAGCTCAGACCCCTTCCTCACACTACATACAAACTATACCGATTGGGTGACGACCTCAGACGATCTACCATGTGCCTAGGCCATGTACGTGTCATAGCAAAGTCAGGGGGACCAGGGGCTCAGCCTTGGCACAGCACGCAGACCTGTCTCCCAGGGCGAGTCCTCTGCACTTTGCCACACCTGACCAGGGACAGTGGCTGGGCGGGCCCCTCTCTCCCCCCACATTACAGCCTTGACCAAAAGGGGGTGCTGCCCGCCCCCCCCCCCCAACCAACCCTGTCCCAATATGCAGGCAGAAGGGCACTTCTGGCTGGCAGGCCCTGCTCTGTCATGTGCCAGGTCACGGTGCAGCACAAGACACAGAGAGCAGAGACCAGGCCGTGCCTGCACGTGTGTCCTGTGTGGAAGTGCAGAGACCAGAACTTCTGCCGGAAGTGGCATTGCCGGGCCCCCTCTGTCCCGCCTTGCTGAGGCTGCGCTGTGCCTTCTGTCCCTCTCAGTTCTAGCCCCTCGGCCATGCAGCCTGTCTCGGAGACGCGAAAGGACAGCCACAGGAACAACATGAAGTGTCTCAGGCCTCCGGGCTGGAGCTGAGCCCTTTTCTTCAGCAAGTTGCGCGCTGGGATCCTGGGCTCCTGCCCGGCCGAGAGTGAAACTGTGTGAAACTTGATTTCCAGCCTGCCTTCTGTCTGGGAGTATGCACTATCTGCCGGCCAGGCAGGAATGCTGGAGGTCAGGATCCCTGAACTCCTAAGCCGTCTACGCCATGCATTTGTATTGTAAGTGAAATCATTTTTGGTGAGCTCCTTCTGAGTTAAGTCAGAAATAAATTTCCCTGAGAGAGCCTGACATTGCCCTTACCCTCTAATCTTCTCTCGAACAGACTGACAGCAAGGGTTTGCTCATTTTCACTGCATCAATTTTAATAAATGAAGAAAATATTTTATATTCTGGAATTGGAATCATCCGCCATTTTTCAGGCTCGTGGCTAAACGGAAAGCATTTCACTGGGTCTGGCTCACAGCCCACCCACCACAGGCCCTGATATCCATGCCCTCCTCCCCCAACTGCCCAGTTCATGCATCTCCTACAGTTCATCTGGGGACGGCTGCTCATTCTATTCTTTCATTTCTAACCTTTCAGGTCTGTTTATCTCTGTCTTCACTGGGGTTCACACTTCTTCTCTATAGCGTCTCTCTTCCCTGTAAGCAATAAAGATGCCACACAGATATTCTTAACTTCCAACACTCAGTGTCGCTTCATGATCCTCATTAATCCATGAATCCTCATCCTTATTATGTAAATGCTTACATAATACTCAAGAGAAATAATGTCCCGATTTTCCCGTATTTGAAGGTATTTTTAAGCCTCATGCATGGGCACAGGGGAGTCCTGTCTGGACAGAGGAAGGGCTTGGTGGGTACCCCGGGAGTGTCTGGGGTCAGCCTCCACCATCCGAGGGCAGGGGCATGGCCAGAAGACTGGACGAAGCTGGCAGTACCTGGGGCTCACTGCACCACTCTACTTTTGTACAAAGGCATGTTCAACATCTTCCATAATAAAAAGTTTAAAAAAGAAAACAAGACGGGAGCAGCCTCTCCAGGAGAGCTGTGCTGCCGCCCCCTTGTCTCTGGTGGGGCAGATGGATGCTTTCTCTGCAATCCTGTCTCACAGTTTGACTTGACGTATTCTAGTCACTACTACCTTTCACTAAGGACAGAGTGACAAGCGCACTGTACCAATCAGAAGGCAAATTCTCAGTGTCTCCTCTTACACAGGCCTCAGATAAAGCACTAATTTTCTGAGACCAGAATCAAAAAAGAGAATAAGAGGGAAGAGGGGCTGATGTGGATAAATACACAAACACAAGCAATTCCAGAAAACACAAGAGATAAGTAAATTAGTTAAAAACAAAACAAAACACTTGGCTGCTGCTATGTAACAAGGCTCACCACAGGGTGACCAGAGACACCCAGAGCAGCTCCCACTAACAAGTGCAGGGTTGCCCCATGGCACGTTGGACACAGACCGGGGGGGCACCCCAAAGGCTAATGGACCCTCCCAGAGAGGGAGGGGCTCACTCTCCACCATTCTGTGCGTAGGAAGTACCCAAGAAGCGTGCTAACACCTCCAGTCAAAGATGGCTCCTGACTGGGCACAAAGGCCCCATGACAAACTGTGCCACCAAGATACTGGAGGCTCACCTCTGTGTTTTACTCCATCTTTTCTTGCTCGGACCAGTCCCAACTCCCAAACAGGGACTTCCCACTTTCACTGTGCATTTCCTCTTGAGCCCCATTTGGTCACACATAGCACGGTGATGAGCTGTCAGCAGGTACAGGTGCCCTTCTATGGAGGAGAAGCCAGACCTCAGGAGCCTGTGTGTGTGTATCGTACTCTGACTTACAGACTTTTATTCTCCTCCCTCATGTGATCAAGAGAGCTCATTCTACAAGAAATTCAAAGCACTGCTCTTTCAGCAACTTCTCTGGTTTCCCAGGTGCTATGCCATTCCAGGACTTGGTCCTTCAATCCCCTTAAAGTCATTAGCTGATTATGAGGCCTGCTCACTCTTTCCAGAAGCTCGCTCTTTCCTGGCCCAGCTCCACAGCTCCTACATCCTCTAAAGGGCTCTGTTACCACGCAGCACTCCTGGTAGTCCTCTGCCCTTTCTTATCCTCTGCTGCCCAACACAAGCTCTCTGAGAGCAAAACGGGCCCCACTTGCTTCTAACGTCCTACCAGAAAGCGCTATTCCTCACAGGCCTTGGGTGGTGGATGCTGGTTATGTGGAAGATGGCTTTTAACAACTATAGTTAGTAAAATTCTTTTCCACATCCTCCCTGGTCAGCAGCATCTTCCACCGGGGACAGGACAGAGAGACGGTAGCCACCCACTGCTGACAAACCATCACCCAGCAACAGGGCAGGCCGGGAGAAGGGCCGTGCATTACCCTGGTCGAAGCCGCTGCGTCTATAATAGGCCAATGCCACCTCCTCCACAGAGCACAGGACTGTGGCAGGGGCGGTGGGCCCCCCAGCCTCCATCACGAACACAGACTTGCCCATCCCACGCTGCGGGCACAGCCGGCCCGTGATGGTCACCTGAGACAGCAGCAGGAGAACACCCATTAGCCTCACTTGAGCTCCAGTCCCCACAAACCTGACTTCCGTGTCCTAAGGACGCACCTTCCTATACTCCCCTCAAGCCACAGATTCTCAGCAGAGTGTGAGGCCATGTGACCCACACTCTGGTGCCTGTGAGAGTGTAGACAGGTCACCGCCCCAGCCTCGGGGAAGTCATGGACCCCAAAGCTACTCTCCAGGCACCCTGACCAAACAGGAGACACTGGCAAAGGCTGTGAGCTTCTGACTCAGGGGTTTTACAAAAAGTCACTCAACCCCGGGCATGAGCAAACCAACCCACCAGGCTGGGCTGAGCCTTCCAACGTAGGAGGCACGGGTATGAAAACAAGGAGTCACTGTCTAAAACGAGCATTAGAATTTTCTAAGTCTAAAAGAAAATGCACTTGAAACCAGTCCCTAGGCTGTTTCCATTCAGGAAAAAACCCAGTACATGCTTTTAAGTCCAAAGCACCCAAAGGATATTTACTTACATGTTTAACATCTTCCACAGTTATTTCTGGTAGCCGATGGAAGAGGTGCCTGTACTTCTGACAGCTCGGAGACTCTCTCAGGCGCACAGCTCTCTGATACAGTGAAAGACGATGTCCTGTTCTTACTTCGGGATCTGCCAGCCCTTCTGCGATGCACTTAATAGCCTAACAAAGAACACGGTCCCACATTAGGATCCTGAAAGACCTCATGGCAGCATCTGCTAATTCAACGTGACAGGAAACCCCATTGTTAATTAATTATTCAATTTTGCTAATTAGCAAGTGGCCAAAGCAATAGTTCCAGAGAAAAAGGTTATTATTTCCTTAGATCTCATTCTGCTTTTAATGCACAGATGAATCATAATCCCTGACTATAAATGTCTGACACTATTTCCCAGTTATACCTGCAGACAGGGCAAATCTCAGCTACCACACCCTCAGGGAGACTGAGAAAGTTAGAGATGCCCGTGGGTAACGGGCTGGAGAAGACTGACTGACAGAAAGACTTGACTCAGTGGTTCTCAGAGCAGCCCCCGGGGAGCTCTGAAAACATACATGTGTTTTCCATCTCTGATCTGCATAAATGGGCATCTCTGAGCAGGAGTGGGAGTGGGGGACAGGCATCTGACCACTTCAGAGCTGCCAGTTAAGTTTCATGTGCACTCAGGAACCACAGAGCTGGTCTAGACCCCTCATTTACAGGGAGAAGAATCTTGGGTTTGGAGGACTTAAATGCATTTCCTAAGGTTATTCAGAGTTGCACAAATAAACAAAAATACTGAAAACCACAACAGGATACCACTTCACACCTAACAGGATGACTAAATCATAAAAAAGGAAAATAGTAAGTGTTGACAAGGATGTGGGAGAAACTAGAACCCGCATGCATTGCTGGCAGGAACGTAAAAATGACTCAATACTGAAAATCGGTAAGCAGTTCCTCAAAAAGCTAAACACAGAATTACCACATGACCCAGCAATTCCACTGCTGGGTTTTAGCCAAAAGAACTGAAAGCAGAGTTTTGAACAGATGTTTATACACCCGTAATCACAGCAGTGTTATTCTTAACAACCAAAAGGTGGAAACAACCCCAACGTCCATCAACAGAAGAATAAATGAACACAATGTGGTCTCCATGTACAATGCAGTATTATTCAGCCTTAAAAAGGAAGGAAATTCTGACACCTACTACAACATGGATGAACCTGGAGGACAGGCTGCTCAGTGAAATAAGCTGAGCCACGAAAGATCAAATATTGTACTATTTCACTTCCATGAAATATCTAGAAGAGGCAAATTCATAGAAACAGACAGAAGACTGGAGATCAGTGGGGGCTGTGGGAGAAGAGGGAACAGGGAGCCACTACTCAATGGCCACACAGTTTCTATTTGGTGTGATGACAAGTTTTGGAAATAGTGGTGATGTTTGCACAAACACTATGATTATAATTAATGCAGCTGAATGTACCCCAATTAATGCCACTAATGTACCCCAAAGAGCATTCAAATGGCAAGTTTTATGTGTTATATTATTTAGTACAATAAGAATAAAAAGTAAAAACAGGGGTGCCTGGATGGCTCAGTCGGTTGAGCATCCGTCCGACTTTGGCTCAGGTCATGATCTCGTGGCCCATGAGTTCGAGCCCCGTGTCAGGCTCTGTGCTGACAGCTCGGAGCCTGGATCCTGCTTCAGATTCTGTGTCTTCCTCTCCCTCCACCCCTCCCCTGCTCATGCTGTCTCTTTTTCTCTCTCTCAAAAATAATTACACATTAAAAAAATTAAATAGAAAAGAATAAATGTCTTATCGCTTAAAAAAAATAAAAAGTAAAAAAAATACTACAACAACAAAAACAGCCACTCTGAACATTAGTGAAAGATCAGGCCATTAGGAGTGGAGCAGTCAAAGGAATCAAGAAGAGTGAAGGAGACACTGACTCGGCTCCACCACAGGGAGGGGATGGCCAGCTACCCCCTCTTCGGCCCGGCCTAGCTGCTGAGCACTTTGCAAGAATAAGAACTCTGCTGATGAATTCCTTCGCTGGAGACTGAGGTAAAGAAATGAGCAGGATGGTAACAAAATGATGAAGACTGTGAGTGTGGCCAGTACGATCTCTGAGAAAGGGCTAAAAGGAACTAGGATTTTCTAGAGGTCTCAAAAATAAGCTCAACTCGTCTCCCTCTGTGCACCTAAGTGAATGCTCCTCTTGGTAGAGCTGTGAACAGGGGGGAGATCCAAGCCCTTTCAGCGAAAGAAAGAGGCAACAGAAACAGCCTTTCTCTGCCTTTGGCTGTGGGCTAACGGATACAGTCTCTTGCTATTTCAGCCTGAGCAAACAGCAAGAGGTAAGGAAGCACACCCGCCTCCGAAGAAGAAAACAGGCTTCACGGGCTTGAAGCACTTTAGGTAACAAGGCACTTTTTCAGTTTAAGGCAGTAAAAATAGTATGTCCTACTTCCACACCCTTGGTCAACTTTTCCACCCCCACATCACCCTGATTCACTTAAAGTTGCTGCTGGAAAAAAACAAAAGCTTCCCAAGGCACAGTCCCCTCCATTCAACACAAATGCAGGGCTGCCAGGCAGGAACCTCAGGCGGCCACACAAAGAGCCACTGTCGCCACTGGGCTCAGCAGAAGCTGCCTGTGGAAGCTCCACCCTGCTCAGCCCTGGCAGTAACCAGGATCCTGGACTCCCAAGGTCCATGCCACAGAGAATACCAGCACCCAGAAGAGAAGGTGGCCTGCTGCATTAGTCAGACAATACATTTCCCCATGGAAAGAAACCTCTTTCGTCAGACTTTCTACCTGGAGGCCCCATGCAACAAATGAGTGACATCACCATTTCCAAAATGAGGACGGGGACCTCTAAGTCTCCTGCTCCCTTAATTCCTAGATCTCGAATTCCTAAATCCCAACACACAGCCCCACTACCAACCCACGTTCCAAATCAGTGAAGACAACAAGAAAGTGTCCTGTCTTCATTGTAACACTTCTGTTAGCATCCCTGTTAGTTTTGGGGGGAGGGGGTTGGAAGAACACAGACAAAAGAAGAAATGTTAAAAAAAAATACATATTCTAATTACATTTAGAATTCTAAGGTATTAACAGTTTGCTATGTATTTTAATTTATGCAAACGTTTAAAAAGGCTCAGGGTGTATCTAGTTACTGAATACCGGTTCAAGGCGTTTCAAGTGCTGGTGTAAGTTGAGAGCCAATCTATCCCACCACCGGCCTCTGCTGTCAGGACAATACACTTTCTGTGACAAGAGGTTTTCAAGTTCCTTGACTGCTTCCTGTTGCAAGAACAACAAAGGAAGTTCATTAGGTTCATACATACCCGAGAAAGTAACTACAGTTAGTGGCCAAGAAGACTGGCAAAGTATATTTATAACACACGTGTTCCACTCTAAAAGGCCAAGGACCCCGGAATGAGAAGACTGAGATGTCCCCTCTGAAGCAGGCCCGAGCCCCTGAGGCATCCCCACTTTTCACCCAGGTCTCCTGCCAACTGGTGAGTGAGCAAACGGAGTTCTGTCAACACTGCTTGATATTCTCTACAAACCAAGTCAACTGGTGCAGGGCTGCACACAGTCAAGTTCCAGCGGCCGAGCACTGGTCAGGGGCTATACGGCCGCATGCTTCTGGGAATACAGTAGGTCACAGGGCCAAGGGTGTGAGGAATGAATGGGGGGCAGGACAGGAATGAGCAGAGTCTTCATCCAAACACCCCAAACACCCCACCCCACCTCAACAGGGACACTTTCTGGTCTAGATCTATACACACACTGTTCAGTTTTTGTGGTTCATGGATCTCTTGGAAACATCTAATGATTCCCTTCAGAAAAGTACGCACAAACCCCCAGATAACTCACTTGTGGGGTTCACAAACTTCCCACAGCCAACCCCATGATCCTCTTGGGTTTCATGGACCCGTGACAAGAGCCCTGGGTTCTGTGTATCCTCTTTGTAAAATAGCATTTTCCATACAGAAATGTTAACATAACAATAGTTAACTCTAGCCATTTCGTTCAGTTTCATACAGGGAAGGATATGACTGATTTTCCGATTTGTGATTTTAAATTATTTCCCAGTGGTCCGTGCTGGTCATCAGGGCAAGCAGATAGGAGGTTTCCACCTCAGAGATTTCTGGAGACCTCGCAAGTCACACATGGAATTGTGACAGAGACTCAGGCTGAGACTTCCTGCACAGCTCCGTCGATGATCCCCAGGCCGTCCTGGTGCACACGCAGCCAGTCACAAGAAGATGAAGTGATTGGTCCTCCTCGGCCCTCTTCCTCTTAACCCTGAAGACAGCAGGCTGGCCACATCACGTCTGCTTTCATGACATTACTGTGTGCGGACTAAGCAGGCTCCCCTGCACAGCTCATCGCTGGCACAGCAGTAAAAGCCAGGGGTCGGGGCTTGTGCTCTAACCTCATACAAGTGAAGTCGCTGCAATATTTCAACAGTACGGGACAGAATCCTTGTGTAAATCCACCCGACAGTAAAGCAGCGCAGAAAGAGTGGTAAATTCTCATGGTATCTAAAATGAAGACGGACACCAACAGTTCAGCCATCTGACTTATTTGTTGCAAGACAGTCATGAGAAGTGACAAAGATAGATTCTAAACACTGGCAGCTGTACACAAAGTTCTACGCCACAAACCTACATTCTGATAGCCAGCCACCATCTCCTTGGTCACTCAGCGGAGTAAAATGAGAACAAGCGGAAATATCCTAAGCTGGAGGTCAGCAAACTAAGGCCAAATCCTGCGCCCGCTAGCTGATTTTGTACGTCCTGCAAACTTAGAATGGTTTTCGCATTTTTAAATGAGTAAAATAAATCAAAAGGACAATAATAGTCTGTGGCATGTGAAAATTATATGAAACTCAAATCTCAGTCCCTAAATAGTGTCGGCACACCGCCCCGCTCATTCATTCACAGCCCGCCCGTGGCCGCTTCAGTGCTGCAGCAGCAGAGGTCAGCAGCAGTAGCAGCCGCCGCCCGGCCTGCAGAGCCCTAAACACCGACCAGCCGACCCTTCACAAGAGTCATCCACCAACCTCTGCTCTATAGTAATCTAACACCTTGGCTATGATTTTTCTTTTTTTAATGAAGAAAATCATCTACTAATTTGTTTTAATGGTTTGTCTTGCTGTTTGGTGTGAGAAATGTTACCAAATTTACCCAACTTGTCCTAAGAAAATCTTCCAATGTATATGCACATCACAGGAGTAACAACTCTACATTGGTTACCTCATTTCTAGAAACTAGAAAGGCCATTAAGTGAATGGCTCAACTTTGTGTCTGAAGTACAGAATACTTCCAAATGAAATATGGGCAAAATATTCAGTTCTTTTTTTTTAGCTTTAAAGGCCATTTTCCTGGCAATGGTTTTTAAGTCATTAGCATTTCTGTATGAAGTTTATTGTCATAGACTCTGGGTCTAGAGTTCTCTCTTGTCGAGCAAGAAAGCGGGACACAGGATTAAAATGTGAGAGATAGCTAATGGGAAGCCATTAGGGTCCTTGCTCCGTTTTTATTAGGATCAGAAGGCTTACAAACATGGTGATGGATGTGCACAAAGGGACAATGAAACTGTGAACATTAACTCACGGACGTGAGGGAAAGGGGGTTTTCAAGATATATGGGGTTAGGTGTTTGGGTTAATAGAAAACAAAATCCTGGTGCCCAGTGGAAGGTTGTTTACAGCAGATGTGAGGCACCACCTCTGTTTACCTAAACTGGTCTAGGGGACAAGAAAGACAGAGCATGTAACCTCTGAGTCTTTTGTTAGCACCTCTCTGGGCAACTTTATAGCCCTATTTACCTATTAACCTAATTTGGTCCTTCCTTCCTGTGAAAGCAGCTTTCTGCTATAGTACTAAATTGGGGGGCATTGCAGCCCTGAATACCTAATCTTGTTTATCTCATAGATCTTTGTTCTCTACTGGGGCCTTTGCCCCGCCCCCTCTATACCACTTACCTAATCTTGTTTACCCAGACTTGGGTGTGAGCATCCTCTGGCTTTGTAATTCTTTATGCCTTGTTAACTCATCAGTGCAGGCTCAGGGAATTCCTAAACTTATTCCCCACAGTTTATGTCCTAGATGTTTTTTTGAAAGAGGTATTTAATAATATAAATTTGTCTCACCCCTATGTAAAAATAAAGGAATAAAATCTCCTTTTTTAAAAAATGATTGAGAGAGAGAGAGAGAGAGAGAGAGAGAATGCGTGTGGGGGAGGGGCAGCCAGAGGGGGACAGAGGATCTGAAGCAGGCTCTGTGCTGACAGCAGAAAGCCTAATGTGGGGCCCGAACTCACGAACCTGACCTGAGCTGAAGTCGGTTAAGTGACTGAGCCACCCAGGTGCCCCAAAGGAATAAAATTTCTTAACAAATACAGAGTATGCTTAACAGTTATCAAGGGAAAAAAATAATCATGTGCTGTATACTTGAACTTTTGAAGAAAATATGCAATTCAGTTTTCCTTTTCAGATTAACATCTACTTGAATTTCTATTGGAAGAACACATCTAGCGTGGCTCACTCTACCTCTGTCCTGATGCTGGGTTTCCCCCACATCTCAGTTCAGCTGACCAATACTCAGAGAAGCCAACATGCCAAAAGATGGTTAAGTTAAGGGGGTGGGAGAGTGCACAAAAAGGTGAAGGTAATTAAAAGGTACGAACTTTCAGTTATAAAGTAAGTAAGCCTTTGGGATGTAATGTACAGCATGGGGACTATAGTTAATGAGACTGTACTACATAATTCAAAGTTGTTAAGAGAGTAGAAAAAAACTTGTAACTATGGTGATGGATGTTAACGACTTACTGTGATGATCATTTTGCAATATTTATATAAATATCAAATCATCATACTGTACACCTGAAACAAATACTATGTTATATGTCAATTATATCTCAATTTAAAAAAAAGATGGCAAATGGAAAGCTGTTTGTTCACTCCAATGCCTGGTGCAAGCGATCTGAGTTATCTAAAATTCACTTCAGACTTTCAGACATTCCCTTCTATTTCACACAACACTGTGGGTATGCAAAGCAAGTGGGGAATTCAACTGCACAGCTGCTTTGACCACAGAACAAAAGGAGTAAGTTCTTCCTGAAGAGAATTACCTCAAGTGGTTGAAACAACTTGATTCTAAGTAAATTTTGACAGGCACCTAGAAAAGATCTCACCTCAGGGAAGGGTGGTTTTTCAGTTTGTTCCAATCACTTTTTGCACATTGAGAGAGCTCTTTAGCTTCTTTCCAGTTCCCATTGGCCATTGCAGTAGAAATGTCACTCAGCATGTGCGCGGCCGCTGCGTATCTGGGGGAAAAGCCCCACACCATCCAAGTTTCAAATGTGAATGAACATTTACATAAAAATACCACATCCTATCCCCAGGATCTAATTCTGAAGGGTAAGAGTGTGTTTCTGAAAATATAGGGGTTATTTAAATTTGATTCTAGGGGCACCTGGGTGGCTCAGTCAGTTGAGCGTCTGACTTTGGCTCAGGTCATGATCTCGCAGTTCATGGGTTCGAGCCCCGCGTCGGGCTCTGTGCTGACAGCTCAGAGCCTGGAACCTGCTCCGGATTCTGTGTCTTCCTCTCTCTCTGTTCCTCCCCTGCTCACACTCTGTCTCTCTCTCTCTCTCAAAAATAAATAAAGATTAATTTAAATAAATATAAATAAATAAATAAATAAATAAATAAATAAATAAATAAATTCGATTCTAATAACAGCATATTACTGCCCTAAAGTAACCTAAAAGAATACAGGATACCCAGCTAGGAGGAGAAAAACAGTCACACTGTGTTATACGTTAACATGTTCCATAGATAAATGTAATATTCATCAGCTCATCATTTCTGATTCTTGGTACTCATTCATTCAGCAATCTGGCAGCAACCATGTAAACAGTAAGTGACTTCAAAGTCACATTAAAGCGTGGATCTGGTAACCTAATCATTTAGGCAGATGTAGCCAGACTTTGGGTGATACCACCCAAAGATGCATTCTTTGGGAGACAGCAATGCTGACAGGTTATGAAACCACTTAGCTGAAGAAAGACAACTTCTCATTGCATCTTTAGATACACCCAAAACAGAGACATTTGCCCAAGTGACACTGTGCATACATGGTCTTGGGGCTCACACCTAAAAGAAAAGCACGCACTATCATTGTGTGCAAATGCACTCACATAAAAATAAAAACAAATTGCCTCTAAATGGAAAAACTTGCTCACAAATTTGTAGATCTAATTCTCTTATAAAATGCTATGGGACATTCCCGAGGTCTATAAGAAAGGAGAACACAACAGAGAGAACTGCCTGGAGGCTGGCCCAGCCTGGCAGGAACACCTCCAAGGCCAGGAGTGTCAGGGGCAGGCCCCATACTCCCAGCCTCGTGGCCTCAACAAGCCCCACATTCGAGAGGCCACAGAGGCCAACCAACCCCCTCGTGCCTCATCTCCCCTCATTGTCACTGGAAAGGGTCATCAGCCCTCCTCTCATCCACACCTCCCTGGTGCTGCCAGAACCGCCCACTGGCAGCACCTCTCCCATCTCGACCCCGCCCCCCAACCCAGGTGTCTCCTGCCACCTCAGGAGAACAAGGCTCCTTCCCAGCTCCCCCTGCAGCCCTCTCCAGCAGGGGAGGGCTCTTCTCTCAGCCCTCCCCGCCCAGAGACAAATGGAGGAGTCCACCTTTCTTCCCAGCTGCTTCCCAATCACTCTCCCCTCCTTGAAAGCCCCCATTCCTTGGAAGCCCGTGCTTCTCGAGGGCACCTGCTGGCCTCCTGTCTTCTGTCTTGCTCTGCCTCAGGTCTCCAGCCACAATGGCATGTGACTTCAATGTCTGTGAGGATACACAGCACGCTCAGTTTCAAGACCTCCTGGCCAATAACCCTTTACTCACCTCCCTTCTGCTACCCGCACCACAGCTGTTGCTGAACCTCTGTCTCTGATGCACTGCATCACCCTCAATATCTTCATTTTGAGCATTTCATTCACTGACCTCCACCTCCAATCCTTCCAGCTCTCTTATGATGGCAACAATTCCCCAACTTTGCCAAGACCCACCATGACCCCTTCCCCAGCCATAACCGTGTCCTGTCCTGCAGGCCTCCATGCCCCACCTGGAGTCAACCAGCCACCACTCGCTGGTGAATTCACATTGTTCATCAGGCCCACCCTCATCACAGTGTCCAGGCTGACCACTGTGAGCCTGTGCCCAGGTCCCTGAATGGTGCTGAAGAAAACCACACAGCCAGGCTCACTGGCCCCTGCCTGCCCTGCAGGACTGCTCCTTCCTACCTTTGCCTTCCCAGCCACATTCGCCATGCAAGCTTCCCCATCAGACCCCTCCAGCAGGGACAGAGGCCACTCAAGGGGCCCTCTTGGGTTCTCATCACTGCAGCCTCACCCCTGCCCACACATCTACCCTCCCTCCGGCCCTCTGGACCCCAGACCGTCCCATCTCCCCACAGCTTTCTGCCCTCTGGCTATCCCCTTTTTCCTTCTGGGCAGCCTCTCCTTTTCCATCAGTTATCAGTGCTTGAGTGCACAGGCACCCTTGTATCTGCCACCCTTAAAACAGCAGAACAAAACTGCTTGCCCTCATACCCCACTGCAGCAGTGGCTGTTTCAGAGCCATCCTCTGCCTCCCCTTCTTCCCAGAATGGCTGCTGGCATCCCCATCACCCTCCACACATTCCTCTAAAGCGGCTCTTGCGCGGGCCACCAACTACGCACATCTCGCCAAATCCGACAGTTCTACCTCCGGCTCCACATCTACTCAGTCCCCTAGTGACTGCAGACACAAGACTGCCCCTCCTTGACACACTCTTCTCTAGGCTTCCATGCCACACGTGCTCCTAATCTTCCCCCCACTTTCCTGGACACTCCTCCACTCCACCTGACAAACGCTGGCTGCCACGGCCCCTTCCTCCTCTTACCCCTGAAGGGTCTATCCAGCTCCATGGCTTCCAACACCATCCACATGCAGTGACTCCAAATGCTCACAGCCTCACCTGAACAGCTAGCGGGCATCCCAAACACCGCTCCCCTCCCAGCACTGCCATCCTTCCCACCGCCTCTCTCCCAATCCCCAGAGGGTACCACCAGCCGAGTCAGAACACTAGAGCCCTCCGTGATTCTCCCACTGTATCTAGTCATAACCATAATCGAGGCTTGTCGCTTATCCTTCCAAAATATCTCACCCATTCACCTCACTGCCACTGCCACCAGTCAAGACCTTCGCCTAGGCCACCAAGTTAGTCAGCCTTCTCGTAGCTTCCCTGGCTTCCTTCCACCCGCTACTCCACAGGATGCTTTCAGAAAATATGAAACAGATCACTCCCCTGCCATAACCTCTTCAATGGCTGCCCACTGCTCAGAGAGCATGACTGAGTCTGTCCATAGGGCTTCTGAGGCTGAGCATCCCCAGCTCTGCATTCCTGTCTGACCTCTGGGGCTTGCACTACTGCCCCTGGGGCTGTGGCCACAGAGGTCTTCTGAGTTTCTCTGACTCAACAAGTTGGCTCCTGCCTCAGGGCCTGTTGCACATGCTCCCTGCATGGCTGGCTCCCCCTCAATCTTGAGTCTCAATCCAAATGTTACCTCTCCAGGGGCACTTTCTCTGCAAAGCAGAACTTCCCCGGCCAACCCCTCAATCATCAAAGCACTTTTCACATGCTACAATTATTCTTATTTTCTATCTCCCCTAGGAAAACATAACCCCATGGAGGCAAAACCCCATCTGATCATGTTGTAACCCCACCACCGAGGCTCATAATAGGTACTCAACAATCAACTCATATATGTTGAATAAATGAGAAAAAAGAAAAGACAGGATAAATTATTTTAAGTACCAAGGTGGCCAAAAAGATTTCTCAGACTAGGTATCATATCACCAGGTATTATATAATTACCATTCCTGAAGTCAGTTAAATCCAATTTCATTAATATGCTAATGTCCTTTGCATAACAAAAGAAGTTTTAATTATTTTTTTTATTTACAGGATACCTACTTTCTCACAAGAATCTAGGATGGTTTTTCACCCTAGCTCCCCCACTTTTGAACTTGTCAACCATGGTTATGTCAATCAGAACTAAAAAGTAATCTCCCTTAGATATACCAGTAATAAGGACAATGATAATACTAGGACATACTAAGCAATCCCCAGGGACCAAGGACTAAGCACTTTACATGTATTAACACAGATCTGGAGGAATACACTATTATTCTCCCTGTTCACAGATGAAGAAACTGAGGCAAAGAATGGTCTTATAGGTCATTAGTACAGAGAGACTGGAACTTAGTTTCAGCATACACAGTCTCACGAAAGAGAACAGCAGCAAGTCACTAAAAATGAAAAGGTAAAAGACATGGGACAACTCAAACCAGAGTAAGGAAATACTCATTAGAAGATTTTATTCCAATCAAACACCAACAAGACAGTGAGCTTCCTGAGAGCTAAGCAAACTGGGCAGGAATAAGTTTACACTGATGCTGCTTTGATTCAATAATTTCAGTAAATTATTTTTTTAATATTTTTAAATGTTTATTTGAGAGAGAGAAAGCACAAGCAGGGGAGGGGCAGAGAAAGAGGCAGAAAGAGTACCAAGTAGGCTTCGCATTGTCTGCACAGACCTTGAGATCATGACCTGAGCAGAAATCAAGAGTCAGATGCTAAGCCAACTGAACCACCCAGCTGCCCCCTCAATAAATTATTTTTTAAAGCACACATTAGACAACACATAACCAACTCTCCTGCAATCAGAGATCAGAATCTATTTCAGTTACATCTGAGTCATAAATCTTAAGAATCAAAAGTGCCATTTTAGGAATTCGAATTAATTTTTCTTGTTAAGTGATGGTTTTTTTTTTTTTTTTTAAGGAAATCTAAGTATTTTTTTTTTTCCTCTAAGAACTATACCACTCTTTACCAAAACCTTCTATGGCCAGTCAAACCATTCACTGAATCCATGTACCAAAATACATCAGTGACAATTTCTAAACTATCATGTGTGTGATTCAAGTATACAGCACACAAGTTAGTATTCACTTTATCTAAGTCATTATTACATGAAAACATTCATCTTCAGCCTTGTTCGAACCAACAAGATATTCACAAGGCAGGTTTGTTCAAATATCTGTATTTACAAAATGTGTCCTGCCAAAGCTATTTGGGAATGTAAGCCAGGGAAAAGTTTCTAACTCAAAGCTCATTGGTTTTGGCAACCTTAATCTAGGTATGTTTATACATTCTCCTTATAGTCTTAGAAACGTATACAAGTGGGACAGAAGGATAACAAAAGCAAAAAACTTCAAAAACTGTTTTGGCTATTGACTTCTGTTTCTACTGTAACTGGTAAATAATAATAATAAAACCTTTTACATACATTCAGTCACACAGCTATTACAATGAGTTAATACCATCTTACCTGATGAGATCATCTCTATCTTGGAAGATTTGGGTTTTCCGATTGATGGTGTACCTAGGAAACTCCATTCGGCCAAGATTGACCAAAAGCACAGTAGAAAGCTGTCCCTGACCACCACAGGCAGCTTCCTCGTCTTCCATGGAGTCCGTCAATGAAAACAGCAGCAAGACCCGGGAAAACACAGCCCGAGGGCCTTTACAGACTCTCAGTGACTCTCCTGCCAAATCTTTAGCTCTGAAAAATGTACAACATAGAAATAAATTTCTGGTATTTTTACAAGCATTTTGGATGTTAGATTTTACAAATTATTCTCATCTATTAACATTCATTTTTTATACATTTTTTTTAAGTTTATTTATTTTGTGAGAGAGGGAGCACGCATGTGTGGGACGGGCAGAGAGAGAGAATCACAGAGAGAGGATCCACACTGACAGTATGGAGCCTGACACATGGCTCAAACTCATGAACATTGAGATCATGACCTGAACTGAAATCCAGAGTCGGATGCCTAACCAATTGAGCCACCAAGGCGCCCCTACAAATTACTTTTAGATAAAATAAAGATAAGTTGCATTCATTATTCTAAGCTAAAACAAATCTACCACTTCCAGCTGTGTGACTTTGGAGCATAACTTAACCTCTCTTGGCTCAGAGCCTACCTAGGGACATGGTGAAGATTAAATAAAATGTTATCTCCAAATAGTTTCACACATGGTTTGGCTCAATAAAAGGGCAAGACAGGGTTTACACTGGTCATCAATGTGTGAAATACCAGGAAAACTCATAAAAGTATTACCTACCTGACATGAGCAATTTTCACTTCTTGACAAGTGACAATTCAGACTAAATAATAGTTATTTTTTTTTAAATGTCATTATTGGGGTGCTTGGCTAGCTTAGTAGAGCATGCAACTCTTGATTTTGGGGTTGTGAGCTTGAGCCCCATGTTAGACACAGAGATTACTTTTTTAAAAATTTGAAAAAATAAAACAAAATGTCATTATCAAAGGCTATTGGTTAGGCAGCATATTTTCATGCACCAAGAAGTGGTACCAAGATTTGGTGCTGTTCTGTGTGTGCAAAGTGGTCCAGAGGCATCTCCACTCCAGGGTAACCGCTGTAAATCCTGGTTTGATTCTGGATGCCTTCAAGGTAGGTTTGGAGGTCTGAATTAAATTCAGGGCCACATGGACCCTCTAGCTCTCACAACTTGGATACCATCTAGAACAGTGTTTCTCAGGGCACCTGGGTGGCTCAGTTGGCTCAGTTGGTTGAGCATCTGACTTTTGATTTCAGCTCAGATCATGATCTCATGGTTCATGGAATCGAGCCTTACATTAGGCTCTGTGCTGATGGTACTGAACCTGCTTGGGATTCTCTCTCTCCTTTCTCTCTGCCCCTCCCACATGCACACTCACGCTCTCTCTCAAAATAAATAAATAAACATTAAAAGAAAAATAGATCAACGTTTCTCAAACTTGGCACTATCGAGATCTGGGCACAGCAATTCTTTGCTGGGGAGGAGGGCGCTGTTATAGGAGGAGGGTATTCATTACAGGATACTCAGCAGCATCACTGGCCTCACTAAATGCTAGCAGCACCCACTTCCCTCTTCATCACGACAATCAAAAATACCTCCAGATGTTCCCTGGAGAGCAAAGTCACTCCTCAGAAGCTATTAACCTAAAAGAAGTGCTGCATCTCTAGGGGTGTTGTAGGAATCAATGCCACCACCAGAGGCATGAGGGGACAGGGGTGAGATTCTTATCACACCACCATTTAATTGAGAACCACTCATCCACAGAGACTAATAAAAAGAGTCCAATTCCTCCATCTTCATTCAGAGCCCCAGCAATGCAGTCAGCCAAGTCTCCGAGTTCAGAAGGAACCATAAAACATGGTAAAATGAACAGTGATTATCTACTGGGATGAAGAAAGTGTAAATGATGCGCCTTTTTCTGTTTCTTCATAATAACAGCAGAGTAAGATAACAAAACACTGCCCTCACATGGGGCTGTCAGAGACAGATCCCAGTGCAAGGCTCTAAAACAAAATGAAGAAATAAAGTACAGTCTTGAAGGACAGTGATTTTAGTACAACTAAAATAGCCTTGAGAATCTTATGCTCCTTCCTACAAGTCCAAAGTTAGGAATAAAAAAAAAAAAGTTAACCTTATTTCTTTTATTTCTGTTCATATGCTTAGTGCTTATACTGAGAGTGTTGCTTGCTAATTTTAATGTTCACTTACTTATAAAATGTTATATAAGGTTAACAAAAAATATGTAATGAATGCAATTATAGAAAGGATTTAGAATGCAGGATACAAAATCAATGTACAGAAATCTGCTGCATTTCTATATAACAATTATGAAGCAACAGAAAGAAATTAAGAAAACAACCTCATTTACAATGGCACCAAAAATAATAAGGTACCTAGGAATAAACCTAACCAAAGAGGTGAAAGACCTGTACTCTGAAAACTATAAAACACTGATAAAAGAAACTGAAGAGACATTCCATGCCCATGGATTGGAAGAACAAATATTGTTAAAAGTCTGTAGAACCCGGGGCGCCTGGGTGGCTCAGTCAGTTGAGCATCTGACTTCGGCTCGGGTCATGATCTCACAGCTTGTGAGTTCGAGCTCCGCATTGGGCTCTGTGCTGACAGCTCGAAGCCTGGAGCCTACTTCAGATTCTGTGTCTCCTTGTCTCTCTCTGCCCCTCCCCTGCTCACACTCTGTCTCTCTCCCTCTCAAAAAATAAACGTTAAAAAAATTAAAAAAAAAAAAAAAGTCTGTAGAACCCAAAGCAATCTACACATTTAATGCCATTCCTGTCAAAGTACCAACAGCATTTTTCACAGAACTAGAACAAACAAGCTTAAAATTTGTATGGAACCACAGAAAACCCAAATAGCCAAAGCAATCTTGAAAAAGAAAAGCAAAGCTGGAGGCATCACAAGTGCAGAGCTCAAGTTATACTACAAAGCTGTAGTAATCCATAATCCTTACACCCAATGTGGGTCTTGAACTCACAGCCCCGAGATCAAGAGTCCCATGCTCTACCAACTGAGCCAGCCAGGCACCGAAAAAGCCGTAGTAATCCAAACAGTATGGTACTGGCACAAAAATAGACACGTAGATCAATAGAACAGAAAATCCAGAAATAAACCTACAATGATATGGTCAATTAATCTTGACAAAGCAGGAAAGAATATCCAATGGAAAACAGTCTCTTCAACAAATGGTGTTGGGAAAACTGGACAGCAACACGCAGAAGAATAAAAAATGAAACCACTTCCTTACACCATACATGAAAATAAATTCAAAATGGATTAAAGACCTAAATGTGAGTCAGGAAATCATAAAAACCTTAGAGGAGACAGGCAGTAACCCCTTTGACATTGGCTGTAGCAACTTCTTACTAGTTATGTCTCCTGAGGCAAGGAAAACAAAAGCAAAAATAAACTATTGGGACTACATCAAAATAAAAAACTTCTACACAGCAAAAGAAATAATCAACAAAACTAAAAGACAATCTATGGGATGGGAGAAGATATTTGCAAATGTCATATCAAATAGTATCCAAAATCCATAAATAACATACAAAACTCAATACCCAAAAAATAAATAATCCAATTTAAAAATGAACAGAAGATATGAACAGACATTTCTCCAAAGAAAACATTCAGATGGCCAACAGACACATGAAAAGATGCTCATCATCACTTACCATCAGGGAAATGCAAATCAAAACTACAAGGAGAGGGCACTGGGATGGCTTAGTCAGTTAAGCGTCTGACTCTTGGTTTCAGCTCAGGTCATGATACCACGGTTTTGTGAGTTCAAACCCTACATCGGGCTCTGCGCGGGCAGTGTGGAGCCTGCTTGGTATTCTTTCTCTCTCCCTCTCTCTGCCCCTTTCCTACTTTCTCTCTCTCTCAAAATAAGTAAATAAACTTAAAAAAAAAGAAAACTACAATGAGCTATCACCTCACACCTGTCAGAACAGCTGAAATCAACAACACAAGAAACAACAGGTGTTGGCAAGGATGTGGAGAAAGGTAAATTCTCCTGCACTGCTGGTGGGAATGCAAAGTAGTGCAGCCACTCTGGAACAGAGTATGGAAGTTTCTCAAAAAGTTAAAAATAGAACTAGAGGAGGATCCAGCAACTGCACTACTAGGTAACTACCCAAAGAATACAAAAATACTAATTTGAAGGGACATATGTGCCCTGGTGATTATTGAAGCATCATTTACAACAGCCAACTTATGGAAGCAGTCCAAGTGTCCATCAACTAATGAATGAATAAAGAGGTGGTATATGTATACAATGGAATATTATTCAGCCATAAAAAAGAATGAAATTGTGCCATTTGCAACAATGTGGATACAGCCAGAGAGTATAATGATAAGTGAAATAATTCAGCCAGAAAAGACAAATACCATGTCATTTCACACATACATGAAATTTAAGAAATAAAACCAACAGCGAGCAAAGGGAAAAAAATAAGAGGGAGGAGAAATCAAGAAACAGACTCTTAATTACAGAGAACAACCTGGTGGTTACCAGAGAGAAGGGAAGTGTGGGGATAGGTTAAATATGTGATGGAGATTAAACAGGGCACTTGTGATGAGCACCAGAGGGTGTTGTATAGAAGTACTGAATCACTCTATTGTACACCTGAAACTTATATAATATTGTGTTAACTGGAAGTAAAATAAAAACTTTAAAAACAACTTAAAAAGAAAGGACTTTGAAGAGATTTAACATACTACAACCATGTGGATCTTAAAGCCAATTAACTCTAAATACATAATTAAAATATTTTTTTAAAAAGATACAGTATAAACTTTTTGAAGTGTTAGTAGTGACAATTTTCTTAATAATTTTTTATACCTATGTTTTATAAAAGAGTAGTATTTATAATATCTTCCCAACAAAGATGGGCTCTTGGCAAGTAACAGCTGAAAGTTACCTGTGCACAAGCACATGTATATCTTTGTGTGTATTCAGATACACACAACATATATATTATACAAAATAAATAACACTGACACTGTTTTAAAGTATTTTCAAAAGCATCACTCACTTCATCCTCAACAATTCCAGAACAGTGGACTCCCAGACTAAAGTTATTATAGTTGTATTTTATAGATCATGTGAGCAGAAGAAATAAATTCTTAAAGTTTTCACATTTTTCCCAAACTGAAACAGTTCAAGGTTGTCACAAAAGCTAAAGAGGGGTGTCTGGGTGGCTCAGTCAGTTAAGCATCAAACCCTTGATTTCAGCTCAGGTCATAGACTCATAGTTCATGACATCAAGCCTCACGTTGGGTTCTGTGTTGGTAGTATGGAGCCTGCTTGGGATTCTCTCTCCCTCTCTCTCTGTCTCTGCCCCTCTCTAACTCATGCCCACCCATGCTCTCCTTTTCTCTCTCTCTCTCTCAAAATAAAAAAAAATTAAAAAAAAAAAAAAACCACAGTTTTTAGTAAATTTTATGTCTAAACTCAAAAATAGTTGCATATTAAGACTGACAGATTACACTTCAATAAAAAGTTGACTAAAATAAATATTTGACTGAATAGTTTACCCTTAAATCCTGTAGGAACAGCAGCCAAAACTGCATTTTTCTTGAATAATAAAATACTAGAATTTACTAAAGACCTATTGCCTCCTAATTTTTCTTGGTCCTAGAAATTTCTTGCTCCAAATATAGTACTACAAGAATTATAAATAATAAACCAAGAAAGAATCCAGGCTATTGTAATAGGCCTTGTAATACTCTTTTGACTTCTTAATCTAACTGCAACTGAAACAAGTAATTATATTTTGAAAAAATGTGCTGTTATAATAAGTTAATATGTGCTATCAACATTTTAAATGCTTTTATTGTTATGACGGTCAACAAAACCTTTTTAAAATCACGGCACCGATTCCAGACTGATTTTTTCCCCAAGTGCAGACTGAAGGCTGTTTGGCCAATTTGAGAAAGGTGTCCACGAGTTGCTGTTTCTGTCCATTGGGATTCACTAAGTGGAAGGTCTTGGCCAGGGTTTTTAGTTCAGGAGCAGAAAGCAGTTCAAGCACTTCAGAGAGTTCTTGCAACTCAGACTCTGAAATGGATTTAAAAAAAAGAAAAAAAGTTAAACATAGTTTTAAGGAATTTTACTATTTTCTAGCTCTATTTACTTTAAGAAGAATGAAGCTTAGTTATATGCAAATATAATGGAATTCTACTGCAGAAATTGTAATTAGTTTGCCAAAGCAATTATTAAAGAATATAGAGGGGCACTTGGGTGGCTCAGTTGGTTAAGTGTCTGGCTCTTGATTTCAGCTCAGGTCATGATCTCATGGTTTGTGAGGTTCTGTGCTGACAGCCTGGAGCCTGCTTGGGATTCTCTCTCCCTACCTCTCAGCCCCTCCTCCTGCCACCCCTTGCACGTATGCACACATGCTCTCTCTCAAAATAAATAAACACACACACAAAAAAAGAATATGGAAAATAGATACCTCATAACAGTTATAAATTAATAGAATTTCTCACTAAAAAAACAAAGGAAAATAAAATAAAGACACATATGGATAGCCATTATAGCTTGCACATTCTCCTTAAAAACTCACTGGTATATTTGCTCTCGGATTACAAACCCTTCAAATGGACCTCTCCCAAAGCTGACCATCAGCTCTCCTCCCTCCCCACAGGCCTCTTCATGGATTCACTCCCTCAACATACATGGATATGTCTGCTATTATAGGCCCCAGACATCACCCTAGAACCAGGATGCAGCTGAATCAGACTTGGCTGGTATCTGCCTTCTAGGCATTTACAGCTTAGGGCAGTGCCTTTTTCCTCCACTCAGCAAGTACTTAGTGGGTGTACACTGCATGCCAAGTAATCTTCTATGGCCCAGGGCACACTACAATGACCAAAACAAGTCCTGGTCCACAAGGAGCTCAGCTCCTAGCATAATAAGCAAGTATGCATGTCAGGTGGGGATAACGGTTATAACGAAAATAAAACTGGCTATGGCAAAGCAAACATGGCAGGGAGCAAGTGGTCAGGCAAATGTCTGATGACGTGACACAGAGCACAGCTGGATGAAATGAGCCGTGTGGCAGCAAGTACAAGGCTCTGAAAGAGGAGTGCACTCAGCATGCTGAAGAACACCGAGGAGCGCTCTGTGGCCATGACAGAGCAGGAGGGGCAGTCAGAGCCAGGTTCCACAGGGTTGTGCAGATCGAGGGCAAAACTCGGACTTGACTGAGTGCAACAGTGAGCCACGAGGGTTCTGGTTTTGCTGCCTAAAGGTCGTTTAAAGGTAAGTCAAGGCTCACCTGCAGTGGTTACCTGGCATGCCTGTTAAACTTGTGGATTTATGAATCTGCATCAAATCCTCCAGGTGGGGACAGGAGCTCCCAGGTGACACTATGGCACTGATGGGTAGGAAGCAGTGCTCCAAGCAGGGGTCCGAGTCCCACTGCCTAATCCTTCACGTTCAAGCCTCTTCACTGAGCATCTATGCCTTCCCCCAGGCCCGCCACATCACCTAACCTCACTTTACTAACTGCTCTCCACTACAGACTACCACACAGAAACCACCTGGCTTTGGCTTGATTTGCTGATTTCAGTCTACACTGTCAGCAACTACTGAAGACTCACATTCTTCCTCCACCTACGTTTCCAGTACAACACTGCATTCAGTACAGGCAGGTGCTTAATGAATCTACTGACAAGACAACCATAGTTATCTAATAGTCTCATAGGCCTAAGTCAATGAACTTCTGAGGCAATCAACTTATAAACTATAAGAGCTGTATATGCGTGCGTGTAGGAGTAGATGAAACTTTTAGAGGCAATATTAACTTCAAGCAAACCAGCTTTATTCTATCACAAAGATAAGGCATCTGAATGAGTCAGATTCTTGCTGGAAGGTGAGAGCTGAGAAGGGATGAGTTTCTTCAGCGGCCCACGGCCACCTATCTATCCAAAGAGGACTTTATCGTCCTAAATACGAAACAGCCAAGAAAACAACAGTGGTCTTCACACAGGCTAAGAATGGCTTTAACATGAATAATCTGTTGTCCTAAGGTTAAAAATTCAATTAAAAAAAAAAATTACTATTTACCAGGCACCAACCAGGAAATGACACCATCCTGGTATCACCATCATTCTGCAGAAACTTAGTTATTCGTGTCATATTTTCATTTTACATTTCCTTTGACTAATCATACCTGTCTGCAGAAAGCCTGCTTGCTGCAGTTCTCCAATCACAGGTGTTAAGTCAGGAGCAATCTCTTCATATTCCAATTTATTCATCTTAATCCAGCCAAATTTACGTTGAAAAAGTCTTACATATAACTTCTGACCACTAGCTGCAAGAAAAGTCGTGAAAATTATCTCTCTTCTCAAAACAACATACAAACATTCACTTTTTAAAACTGAAGACAACATATTCTATTAGAAATACACTTATGCTTACTCAACTGATCACCCAAGAACATCTTTTTCTTCTTTTGGAAGATACAATTTATTTCATATGTAAGTCCCCATGGAGATGTCTCCTTGTCCTGTGTGCCTGCCACCAGAGGACAATAAGAATATCCAGGATGGGACCAGCTCTGCCACTTCTGAATTATACAAATCTATGAACCTTACCGAGACTCCATTTTCTCTTCTGTTAAAAAAGTGGGGGTGGGATGGGGCAGTAACACCATCTTCCCAATGTTGCTGAAAAGATTAAACAAGATGAGGCATTCGATGATTGGTGTATAAACAACAAAAAATCTCCAAAGTTGGTCATGGTTATTGGCCATTTTAAAACTTCTAAGTACCAGGTTTCCCATTATCTAGCCACCAACATTTTTTTTTTTAATTTTTTTTTCAACGTTTATTTATTTTTGGGACAGAGAGAGACAGAGCATGAACGGGCGAGGGGCAGAGAGAGAGGGAGACACAGAATTGGAAACAGGCTCCAGGCTCTGAGCCATCAGCCCAGAGCCCGACGCGGGGCTCGAACTCACGGACCGCGAGATCGTGACCTGGCTGAAGTCGGACGCTTAACCGACTGCGCCACCCAGGCGCCCCAAGCCACCAACATTTTTACTCCATCAGAGAAGCCCTACCCAGAATTCCAGTTATTTTATTCTCCACTTTCAGCTTAATACGAACGACTCTATTGTTGGCTGAAAATAATCTGAAAAGATTTTCAAAATTCGTCTAGCATTGGTAGGGCAGCCATCTCTAACTTGGTGATCTTAGCCAAGTTATTTAATTAACCTGGTCAGTTTTCCTGTTATCTGGATTATCTTCAAATTTCTGCCAATTCTAAAATGGTGTAACTGTATTCCTTAAATCTTCAACTCCCCACCCCCTTTTTTTCTTTAAAGAGGAAAATTCAATTAGCAGTACTTATTTTCACACAGAGACACTGCAGATTATTCTCTGTGGGGAGCCATACACAAGAATCTGCAGAAATTCCATTCAGGGAACTATTCATTCTTCTCAATTATACAGAAGCACAGAGCCATGGACTACTCAAATGCTCACATGAATACAACCAGCACCCAACTAAAGATCTGTAACTTCCATGGACAGAAGAGTCAATGTGGTGTCATTCATGTCCATGTTCTGGTGAGGACAGCATAAGTAGAGACGGAGGCTGTGAGGATAATTAATGCAACTGTGCCTAGAGAAGTATTACTCACATGTCAAAGCAATACTAAGAATACCGTAATTCCATTGTGTGCATTTAAAACAAAAACCCTTCTCTTGAACATTCCTGGCAATGTTTAAGATCTTTTTTTTAACTCTACTGAAGAGTCAAACCTGACTACAAATTATGGGAGGTCAGTGTAGCTCCCAAGTAAGCGTTTCCTACCTCAGAAGGGACTCAGTTCCATAAAGCCACCATGGCCCTTTGGATTAGCAATGCTACAAGGGTGGCTTTTGCTCCAAATGTGCACTATCGGCTCAGAGCCACCACTGGCTGCCAAGGAACTGAGGCATAGACCATTATTTTTAAATGCACCAATTTAGCCTGAAAGTTTCCAATTCCTCCACACCCTGACCTTAAAAGGCAGAGTCAAAAAACCTAAAATTGAAGGAAAAAATAAGCCTTAATATACTTTGGTTTGTTCTTTCCTGTATTTTACTTCAGTTTTGAGAAAATGGTGTGTAAAAACAATAAAACAACCTAAATTAAGCTTGATTACATGCTCAAAAGCAAAGTATACTTTTCTAAGTCACAAAGGTATTTTTTTTAACCTGGAAAAGGCTGTTTTATTACCATCAAATATACATATAAAGGAAAAACAGATGCTTCCATCATAACCAAATTACAGCTTGTAAGGATGATACTGCAGAAGCAGACATCACCGGACACAAAATCTCTTTTTCATGCATGTTCTTCTCAAACCTTGTGGCTGGCTGATTCCCAGGAGCATTCCCAGAGGACTCACAGAACCACACTGACTCCTTGTGGTCATTAGGTTACTGCCCAAATCAGGCCAGCAAATGGAAAAAAACTTGAAAGCACACGAGCTTGAGATACCTGATAATTGATAAAATTTAGTTACAATTCCCCTCTCATGTTCATCAAAGAGCATCCTATCTTCTTCATTCTCAAATACAGCTCTCAGCACCACGAGGAAACTCCGAAGGTAGTAAGGATGACTTGGTGGTACTGTAATTGTTTTACCAGGAACATCACAGCTTGACCCCTGCTCCAAAGGAATTCCGCAAGTGATTTCATTCTTTAAGTCACTGTCACCTTCCGGAGAAAGGTCCTGGATGTTATGCCCTTTAGAATCATCATGTGTAGAACTATCAGACTTTGCCTCCCAATTTGACAACTGTGTTTTAGTTTCTGAAGCAACAGTCACTTTCACTTCTTCACAACTACCTGCCTCACATTTTTCAACATCTTGATTATCTACTCCTTTGATGCTCTCCCACTTTGCAAGACTGTGCTCTGAAGTAGACTTCAATGTATTCCCAAGAGTTAAATCTGGTGAAAATAACATAGCAGCATTATCTGAGAAGGCAGGGCCAAGGGGTGATCTCTCATATTCCTGGGTAGCCGTTTGGCTTTCAGCTCCCATTATTTTTGTGCCTTCTACAGTATGTTCAGGTGTACTCTGCTCCTTAAGAGAATCACAGGCAAACACATTTTCCTTTTGAGAACTGTTCTCCAAAATTTGATCCTTGTCCTCAGTCTCTGAACAGTTATCAACCAGGGTCCTAACCACTGTGGATGAGGAACTCTGTGGACTCTTATTGGCAAATTCCTCATTCTTATCTATTGCTCTTTTAGCTTCTGTGTATCTTCTGGACAATTTAGATGACAGGCTTCCCAAAGTAATGACTTTCACATTATGATGTCTCAGCTTATCTTGATTTTTGCACCCCAAATCATCATTATTTTTAAAGTAGGGGCTGGTCTGCTGTTTTACGCCCATTTTTGCTGAATCACTTTGGTCAGGGGTTACACTTATCTTTGATGGTGACAACTTTCCTGGTGTTACATCTTCTAAGACAATATTGGTTAAATCTACTGTAGGCACATGTGAATTTATTAAGTCAACATGCCTCTGATCAACTGGAGTGATGTCATCATTGTTAGCACACTTTTCATCAAGATGCCGGTTTAAGTCATATCTCTGCACCATTTTACTACAAACAGGGCAGGCAAGCTTAGCAGGTGGTGCATTGTTAAAAAATGAAATAATAGAGTTACATTCTTTTGTTTTAGTTTTACTGGCTGATAAACTTCTACGAGGTCTTTTCTTCGCAGGAGCTTTCCCTTCTGACATCATGAGTATTAGAAAAACTGGGTGTTTCCAGTAATAAAACCCAGGATATCACTGGAAAAAGACAACAATGGTTTACTTTTACTTCCCTGTCTTGAAACAATACAAGGGGGGATTCTATTTGGCTTCATGTTTTTCATTTAGTCAATTTCTTCTTCCTACAAAATAAAACACATGTGGATTAAAAACACTTTAATGAATTCAACAACAGAGTGGAAAAGAGTAAAACGTGCAATGGCAGTATCCCTTGAGATAAGGAAAATCCTGGGCTTGGGACAGAAGACCCAGGGCTCTACTCCCAGCTCCACACGCAATCTCCGTGCGACCCTTACCCATAAAATGACGGCAGTAGGCTCCGCAGGGATATTTTCTCAGACTTAAGATCTAAAATCACCCATCTTTTAAAAGGGAAAATTTGACTATTCCAGATCCCCCTTGGAAAACTACTGCATCAGTGGCTTTTTCCGGGCCAGAGAATGCCTGTCTGCCCGACCCCCGGAGTCATTCCGGCCTCACTGCCCTGCACGGAGAAACTCCACCGCGCCCCCCCCCCCCCCCCCCCCAAGTCACAGACATCTGTCAACACGCATGGGTCCCCCGTGCAGCTATGGCCACCGCACCTCTGAGGCTCGGGGGAGGACGATCCCACTGGGGCCGCGTGCGCGCACGTGGGACGCGCACCTGGGTTCCGCCAAGGTGCCCACCCTGTCGCCCTCTTTCGCCCTCCCTCCCCGCCGCCCCTAGCCACCTCCCGCGCGCCGGCCTGCCGGCGACCCCGGCCGGCCACCCCACTCCTCCCACCGGCCTCCGCGCGCCCAGGCATTCCCAGCCGATCCCCGCATCTCGGCTCGCCATAGGCTCGGCGAGTGGAGGCCCGAGTGATCGATCCCTCTTTCCTTCCAGGTTAAAGGCTCCTTCCATCCAGAGTGACAGAGTCTAGCCGAGCGGTGCAGGGACGTCCGGGAACCTCCACTCTCCACGCCTGGAGACCCCTGCACGTGCACTCGGAGGGAGCCCCTGGCCTCAGTCGTTGGGAAGGTTGCCCGTAGGGACCGCGCTCAGCGTCAGAAGGGGCTTGCTGGGAGCAGATGCACACGGGGGCTCCACCGACCGGGCGCCCGCGAGTTCGCGCTGTGGGCTCAGTAGCTGGGCATTCCCAAAGATGAGCTGCTCGCCGCCTTGCTAGATGTGAATAACCTCCAGAGCAAAGGAACAATAAAACGAAGTCAAGTCGTTAGGGAGCTGTGAATTGGGGGTGTTCATTACTTCCGTTTTTCATATGGTTTAATTGTGAAGCCATGCAGTTAAATGTATAATAACAGATATTTAACGGGGCGCCTGAATGGCTCAGTCGGTTAAGCATCCGACTTCAGCTCAGGCCATGATCTCGAGGCTCATGGGTTTGAGCCCCGTGTTGGACTCTGTGCTGACAGCTCTGAGCCTGGAGCCTGCTTCGGATTCTGTGTCTCCCCCTCTCTTTGCCCCTCCCATGCTCATGCTCTGTCTCTATCTCTTAATAATAAATAAATGTTAAAGTTTTTTGAAAAAAAATTAGATATTTAACAACAGAAATTGGTAACTGAAAGATAAAGTGTATCACTCAGCTCTTCAGCACGGTTACCAGCTGGTTCCAGCCTCCCCATGAATGACCCAGAATGTAAGCAGAAATTTCTGAGTACAGGGGCCACTTTACCAGTGTGGTCCTTTACCAGTGCTCTCCACAGTGGTCAGCACTGTGTAATTACTCTGTAAATACGTATCGAATGAATATGGATAAATGAACAAGTCAAAGAGAAAAGGAACATGAATAGGGAATTCAGCAACAAATATGTATTAAGTGCCTACCTCATTTTCTTGATGCTCAAAATATGGCAGCGAACAGAAATGAGGAATAGGGGGTGGGGGGAATCCCCTGCCTTCATGGAGAATATATTCTGGTGAAGAAAGACAAAACAATAAATAATGTAGAGAATTAAGGAGGAGAACTTCAAAGAAAAAACTGGGAGCATCAGGGTGAGGACGGAGATGAGAATTACAGTATGAAAGAGTGGTAAGGAAAGGCTCCACAGAAAAGGTAATCTTTGAGCAGACTTGAAGGAAGTAAGGCAGTGAATACTTGAGAGAAGAGAATTGTAGGCAGATGAGACACCAACAGCCTCTCCCTGAGGTAGAAGCTTGCCTAACAAAAACACCAAGAAGGCCAAGACAACTCACTGGAGCAGAAGTGAAGTGAGATAGGTAGCAGAGAGAGGGCAGATCATGTAGGGTAACAAACATTTTCTGTAAAGGGCCAGATAGTAAATATTTTAGGCTTTGTTGGCCATAGGATCTCTGGTCACACTGCTGTTGTAGTGTGAAAACAGGCATAGACAATATGTAACATAAGAGTGTGTGGCTGTGTTCCAATAAAACTTTATTTATAAGTAGCTGACCAGATTTGGCCTCTGGCTATAGTCTGCTGACCTTTAATAAAAGGGCTTGCTGGACATATGGATATTAGCATTTACTTTGAGTAATATAGAGGAACCATTCTGCATGTTGTGTTAAGCAAAGATGTTGGGGAGCAGGGACTGAAAGCAGGAGTGGAAGCAGGGAACACAGAAAGCTAATGACGTAATCCCAGGAGAGATGATAGTGGCTTGGATCAGAGTGCTAGTGTTGCAGTTGTTAAGAAATAGCAAGATTCTGGATACATTTAGTAGGTATAACCAATTAACAATTTGTTCATGGTACAGGATGTTAAGGTATGAAGGAAGGAAAAAACTGTTCTATCAACTAGAAGGATGGAAGGGAATAAATCAAGAGTTTAGATTCGGACATGTGTCTTAGTCCATTCAGGCCACTTACAGACTGGATGGCTTATAAATAATAGAAATTTATTATTCACATTTCTATTGGCTAGAAGTCCAAGATCACGGTGCCAACACAATCAAGTGCTTCTTCTGGATCCCAGGCTTCTTGTTTTATCCTCACATGGTGTAAGGGGCTAGGGAGCCCTGTAGAGCCTGTTTTATAAGATCACTAATCCCATACATGAGGTTTCTACTCTCATGACACAATCACTTCCCAAAGGCCCCATATCCTAATACCATTACACTGGGGTTTGGCATTTCAACATGAATTTGGGGTAGAAGAGGCTTCCTCTTCACCCCAGGCAGGGGTGCCTGGGTGGCTCAGTCAGTTAAGTGTCTGACTTCGGCTCCGGTCGTGATCTCATGGTTCGAGGGTTTGAGCCCCACATCCAGCTCTGTGCTGACAGCTCAGAGCCTGGAGCCTGCTTCGGATTCTGTGTCTGTCTCTCTCTTTGCCCCTCCCCCGCTCATGTTCTCTGTCTCTCTCAAAAATAAACATTAAAAAAAAAAGGAAGGGCAGACCCAAATGTTCAGACCATGGCAACATGTAAGTTTGAAATGCCAGTTAGACATTTTTGTGGATGAAAAGACGCATGAATTTATTACTGAAATAAGATCAGGAAATAAAAATTTGGGAGTCATCAGGATTTATACAGTATTAATATATGGCACCAAGGAGTGACTACAAATAGAGAATTAAAAGGTCAGGAAGACTTGGGGCACCTGGATGATGCAGTTGGTTAAACTGTTGACTCTCTGTTTCTGCTCAGGTCATGATCTTACAGTTCGTGAGTTGGAGCCCTGCATTGGGCTCCTCAATGATAGCACAGAGCCTGCTTGGGAGTCTCTCTCTCCCTCTCTCTCTCTCTCTCTCCCCCTCCCTCTCTCTCACAAAATCAATAAATAAACTTTTTAAAAAAAATCTATAAAAGTTCAGGAAGACCTAACACTACAATAAAAAGAGGGGAGATGAGAGTGCCAGCAAAGGAGTCTGAGAAGTTACCAGTGAGGAAGAAGGAAAACACTTGGCATCCAGAAAACCAAGTGAATCATGTGTGTTGAGGATTGGGGGATATCAGATGCACCTAGAGTGGAAGTAAGATGAATGTTGAGAACAACCATTACATCTAGCAATGTGGAAGTCATTTGGTAACTTTGACAAAAGCTATTGTGGAACAGTGAAATGATTGAATAGGATTCAGGAAAGAAAGGGGAGACAGGAATTGGAGATGATGCAGGAACCCATTCAGAACCCCAGAGCTGGTATGAAGATTATTTTAAGCTGAAGGCATCAGCGGATACAGAAAGAAGCCTTCTTGGAGCTTCCCTTATCTGACTACAAGAGACTTCCAGGAAGTAAGGCTGCCATAAATTCCCTCTTTGAGGGGTAGATGAGGGTGGACTTTCATTACCAGGAAGGAGACCTAGAATATATCTACCATAAATTCTCTCTCCAGGGGAATCTTATGGCCATGGAGATGGAAAAAAAACCACACCTGCATGAACAAGCATTATCACAAGCTTTCCTATCTCCCATTTGTTCTTCTAGAAACCCAGGTGCTCTTCCCCCAAAGGTTTTTTCTACCCCTATTTTTTTCCCCTACTAACTTTAACCATTTATCAAGCTACTTCTTTTGTAAGCTCCCATAATTTTTCTTTCCAATCTTCTTCTGTCAGGTGAATTCACAGGCCCCCAGACAATAAACCTAAGAGGGTAGAGGAAACGTTTTTCCTCTCCAACAACAGTAAATGTAGAGGTTTCATACTGAAGGAGAGCAGCGAGGTATAGCCAAAGCTAAGGGGGGAAGTGAGGTTGAGTTCTGTTTATTTAATATGGAAAAATAACAATGTGCTTATATACTGATAGGAATACTCAGGTAGAGTAAAATATGAAGCAGGAGAGAGAAGACTTGCTGGAGGAATATTCTTAGGTAAGTGAGGGGATAGGATACAGGCTGCAAGTGAAGGGGTTGGCCAAGTAATGAAATAGCACAGCACAACAAAATCCCAAAGTATTTATGGGAATGCAATAAATCCAGTACTCAACACAGTAAATGTTGTAGGGTACTGAGGAAAATCTGACTAGTCAATAAATGGTTTTTGAGAACAGGTTACCTACGTGGAAAAATGAAACTGGATCCCTACCTCACACCAAATAAATACACAGCTTAAGGCTAAATAGATTAAAGTAACAATTGTGAAAAGCAAAGCTTCAAAACTTTTGGAATACAGGCATTTTTCAGAGATATGGGTTGGGTTCCAGACCACCAAAATAAAGTGAATATCACAATAAAGCAAATGAAATGAATTTTTTGGTTCCTTGATGCATATAAAAATTATGTTTACACTACACTTCAGTCCATTAAGTGTGAAAGAACATTATGTATTAAAAAAAACATGTAATACCTTAATTTAAAAATACTTTACTGATGGGGCATGGGTGGCTCAGTCGGTTAAGCATCTGATTCTTCATTTCGGGTTCAGGTCATGATCTCACGGTTCATGAGATTGAGCCCTGTGTCAAGCTTTGTGTTGACAGTGTGGAGCCTGTTCAGATTCTCTCTGTCCCTCTCTCTGCCTCTTCCTCACTTGCACTCTCTCTCTCTCTCAAAATAAATAAACATTAAAAAATACTTTATTTTTAAAAAATGCTAACCATCATCTGATCTTTCAGGGAGTCATAATCACTGATCAGAGATCACCATAACAAATACAATAATGAAAAAGTTTGAAATATTGTGAAAGTTACCAAAATGTGATCCAGAGATGTGAAATGAGCAAATGCTATAGACTTGCTCGACACAAGTCTGCCACAAACCTTGAATTTGTAAAAAACACAGTATCTGCGAAGTACAATGAAGTGAAGGGCAGTTAACATGAGATATACCTGAAGAGGAG